CCCCTCTTTAAAATAGGGATCATATATGTTAATTAGCATGTGACAGTTTGGGTGTAAGGTCCCGAGAATGTGTTAACAGTGCTATAGAAATAGATAAGGAGCTTAACAATTTGAATGAGAGATCTATATTTTTTTAAAAGCTGGGCAAAAACTTTCCTGCCACCAAATTGTAATTAGTGCTTAAAGTTTCTTAATTTAACTCCTCTGGGCCACATCTGTGAACAGAGAATAAAAATGCTTGTGCTCTCTGGATAGATGGTAGCATATCACTGTAAGTAAATACATAATTAAATAACTTGAACTCCTCTCTCTAAACAAATGCCTGTCCTGGGCTTGATGTGCTCTTGGCAGCCTTTACATACACATGCGTGTGCACACATGCTCGCGCACACGCAGTCCAGAGAGCCAAGTAGTAGCCATTCAGCTGTGTGAAATCTAGGAATCCTTTCATCCAGATTCCTTTACAACTGCGTATTTTCTGTGTCTTCTGGTCTCTTCTTGCGTTTAAGAATATTTTTCTGCTCATTCCAGGTCTTGATCTGCTCCGATAACCAAGAAGCCAAACGCGCAGTTGCTGAAATCGTTCGTGTCATGGGCTTCACCCCTGTGGACATGGGCTCCTTGTCTTCAGCCTGTGAAATTGAGAACATTCCTCTGCGCCTCCTCCCAGCTTGGAAAATCCCCGTCTTTCTGGCCCTGGGCCTCTTTCTCTGTTTCTTCACCTATAACTTGGTCAGACAAGTGATACACCCCTACATCAGGGAGCAGAAGAACAAGTTCTACAAAATCCCCATTGAGGTGGTCAATACCACGCTGCCATGTGTGGCCTATGTCATGCTGTCACTTGTCTATCTGCCTGGGGTCCTGGCAGCCTTGTTACAGCTGTACCGTGGCACGAAGTACAGACGCTTTCCAGACTGGCTGGACCAGTGGCTACAGCACAGAAAGCAGATTGGTCTCCTCAGCTTTTTCTGCGCAGCCCTGCATGCTGTATACAGCCTGGCCTTGCCCATGCGCCGGTCTCATCGGTATCAGTTAATAGAGACAGCCGTCAAACAGGTAACGAGTTTCTCACCTGGTGAGCCTGCGTCATCATCTTGGATGCAGCTCCAGCTTCTGGGTAGCCCATAGACTGTCCAAACCATGCACTTAGCTCTTCAATTTTTGCATGGTTCCTTTACAATGAGACCAATCACATAAGCAAGTTAGGAGCTAAGCACATACCCCTTCCCAGAAACTAACCTTGAGTCACTGGAGGGTGGCAGCTTGATGATATGCCATCACTTGACAGCCTTTGCTGTCAAGTGGAAAGTTGTAGTGATCAGCGATGGTGGTTATTTTCAGCCAGATGTTTCCAGTCCTGCAGTCCTGCAGCAGCAGGTTAGAGAGTCAAGGTCCTCCACAGCAGTTGACTCTGATAGGAATGTAAAGTGAGCAAAATCCACTTGAAGGGAAGCAGTCCTTGCCTCCCTGGGTGTCTGAGCTCAGTATTGGGCTGGGAACAATCCAGGGTGGGGAGCGATCCTAACCCACTGTTGTTGGGGGTTTTTCGTCCCCCAGGTTTTGCGTGAATTCTCCCCATGTTACTAATGGGAGATTGTGGGCTTTTCCTTTTGGATGTGGCATTTCATTGCTGCTTTACTGTTGTTCATAAACCCTTTGTAAAATAAAACAGAAAAGACTGAAGGGAGGGTCTCAGGTTCGAGAAAGTCATGACATCGCTTGTTTTACTGAGAATCACCATCAGGGAGCTGTTGGTGGTACCAGTGACAAATCCACACTAGAAAAACTGAATTGCAGTCACGGGAATTAGCTCTTCAAGACACATATCTTTCACTTTAACATCCTCCAGAGGACTGTAATGGAAATGGAATAAAGAATTGAGCATAGGAGTCAGAGACAGGGGGGAAGTGATAGGGAAAAGCCTCTTGGACTTGCTGTGAACAAGCTAACAGTGTACAGCATTTATTGAACGTAAGTCCTCGCTTTCTAACCTTATCGAAGATGAACTTTGTCTGAAACAACAAAGAGATGCAAAGCACTGAGGGACCAGCATTTCTGAAACCCAGCGCATGATAGCTGGATGATGGTTAGCAAGTGGCATTTACAAACTGTGCTCAAGGATCCTTTGGGAAAGGTTGGTATGAAGGAGAAGGGTTGGTTTTACATGAGGGTGACCAAGGTGCATTTAGTGCATCACAACTGCTGAAATCCTTGTGAATGGATATTGTGTCATGTAGGATTTTATTGGTGTAATGGGATGATCAAGAGAGACACAAATGCAGGCTTCAGTCAGGGTTCATTTACTTGTGATCTCCAAAGGTGAAAAGAAATCTGTACTAGTGTCAAACACCTCAATACCAGCACAGAGCATCTCCCCTCTGCAGTACTTGCTGCCTATGACAGTCACGAATAAGTCCCAACAAGGTTTGGTGTCAGTTTTCTCCTCCACATTTTGTTTTCTAGCAACATCCTGTTTTAGTAAATTGAGTCCACTTAATGGCCTAAATGGATAGTTATAAATGCCACCATCTGGAACGCAGTACAAAGCCCATCTTTCCTTCCATTAGCTTGAACAATTTTCCTCATTTTCAGTGCACTTAAAATGAGTGCTCTGAGGAGGCCACAGTGTATTTGAGCAGTCAAAGGTCTGTAGTTGTTTGCATGGCTTTAAACTGATTTCTCATGTTAATTTTCATTCTAGATGTAACTGCAGGTCTTGATCCTGAAGGTTTCAAGTACCTACACATCCAGTGAAGGGCTGTAGGAGCTGGACATACTGAGCACTTTTCAGTCAGGTGTAGCACATTATGGAAACTAAGCCTTTCTGCAGCTGCCACGGGTGCCCTTGCATCTGACACAGCAGGTTGTTGCCTCCCTGAATGAGTTAGTCTCTCAGGTGCCATCCTGCCCTGCCTCTTGCCAGTGGTTCATGTAGATGTGGCATGTCAGCAGGGCTTTTGGGAGACCATCCCCTGCTTGAGGATAAACAACCATGGGGTTAGATCTCCATTCCTGCTGCTCCAGAAACACAAAGCCAAAGGAGAGTGTTTGCTAGCCGTAGTCAAACACATGCAAGCTTTTCCAATACCGTTCACTAGGGAGCAAACCCACATGCATTAAATCTGTTGAACGTTCAAGTACAAGCCTAAAGGCAAGTTTAAAGGCTTGTTCCAAAAAAAGGCATAAAAACCAGTTGCTGTGACCCTAACCACTCTGTTTAGACAAAGCTGTTTAACTCTTCATTGTTATACCAGGCAATGGAGAAGAAACCTGATGTGTGGATAGAGGAGGAGGTCTGGAGAATGGAGATTTATGTCTCTTTTGGAATAATCGCCCTGGGCTTGCTGTCATTACTCGCCATCACGTCACTTCCATCCATCGCCAACTCTCTCAACTGGAGGGAATTCAGTTTTGTTCAGGTAAAGTCAACCCTGGCCTACTCCGGAGGCTTCTCCCACAGGTTGCAGAAAGGAGGAAAGGGCATAGCATGCTGCTTCCCCCCACCCCACCTTTCCCCTCCCTTCCTTCCCCAGGCACCTGGGACCAGCAGATCCCATCAGACCCCAGATTCGGTGGGTGTTGTTAAGCACGGGTCTGTGGCTCCACGGGTCTGTGGAGTGTAGCCACCCTGCTAGCTGAGGACGGCTCTGCGTGTCCACCCCTGTGCAGCTGTGCTGTATTGCTCTGGGTTGGGTCTATCAAGGTTTTTGTGGGGAAGGTGTAGAATTTCTTCTTGTCCCTCTGCAATTACTTCACTTCCATTAGTGCCCCAAATGCTGGCTAACGGCAGGCTCTGCCTGTGTAAGTGCTGTTTTGCCATGTCTGGGTTTTTCTCTCTCTGGTTTCTCCTGATCAGGAGAGGGGGTAACCCTGCTTTCCTGGCAGGACTCCAGGAAAGGCTTGGCTTGTCTGATGTTCCTCCTGCGGGCTCCGTTGGATTCCTGTCCAGCTCCCGGCTCCTGCACAGCACTGCCATGTGCAGTTGAAGGGTTTCTAGATTCAGACCAGTTAGAAATGCAAAATACCTTGCAGGTCATTTCAGTCCATCTCCCTGCCAGGGCAGGAATGTTCCTTCCAGTTGGCCTGCTCCCTCGCAGCACTGGCTGCACTTCAGTCGTGCATAATGTGATAGAGGTGCTGTGGACAGCTTGCAGAGGACCTTGGGACACTCCAGGATGAAAAGCAAAGGATTATGATGACTGCAGGAAGCCAAGGCCCATGACTATTAGGGTTTTGCTAGGAATAAGCCTGTAAAAGATTAATTGTTAAGGCAGTTGGCAGAGGAAGTGTCCTGGGAGCAAAGGTTTACTGGGATGCAACTTTAACTAAAAAAATGAAGCCTAAGGGATTTGGGTCTAATTCTGCCCACCTCAGGAGCAAATACCTATTCTGACATGTGGACAGGGCTTTCTCAAAAAGCCAAGGGGTTGGATACAAAAAGGATTCCCTAGTGTCCAGGGCTTTTGCAAAGTGCCCATGAAACAGCCGTCTCTGTGCTCCTGCTCACACCATGGAGTTAAACTGCATTTGCTGTATAAAAACAGAGGGAGAAGTAGAGATTTGAATCCTGAAGGCTCATGGGTGGTATGTTGTAATCAGTGGCTACAGGCACACAGACCAGTTACTCTGAGGCCAGCCAGGAAGTGAATTTATAATCATTCACCTGTGCCTTAATAATGAAGACTACAGCCTTTGAACGCTCCTTGGCCAGTGGTTTGGGTGCTCTCCTAAGAGATGTGGCGTCAAATCAGCCAGAGGAGAGAGATATAAACACATGCCTTGAGGTGTGGTTCATATCAGTGGGCACAGGGCAGGATGGCAGTTCCCCTTCCTCATGCTTTGTGCTGGTCTGGGTTAAGCAACGAGCTCCAGAAGAAGTTTCCTGGTGGCCAGTGCCAAGTAAAAGGAGTTGCATCCCCAGGCATTAGGTCATTGGCTCTCTGCGGTGGCTTCTGTCCAGTATGCTGGCTTTAGTGGGTCCCACTGCAAGGTGCCTCAGTGTCCCTATGGATTGCAAAGGCAGCCGGCACCTCACAGAGATGCTACCAGGCACAGGGATTGTAGGGCTGAATTACCCCAGAGGAGCTAGTCCCTGGACACCTGGGTTATTTCTAAGAACGAGACACAGACTCTTACCTCTGCTTCTGGGCACTTTCGAAAATGCTTCCCATGGTCGAGATCTCTGTGAATGATGCTGCCTGGCAGGTGCTTCCCCCCATCCCAGGGGTGTATTTCTGCACACCTGTATGTTAGCCTGGCAGCCTGCACAGGTCTCTTTTACTAGTGCATTTAACACGAGGCACTACATGAATTGTGGGAATCATTGTTTGGGTGTATGACTGGGATGTAGGTGGTCAGTGCTTGACCCTAGGAGGTCACAGCCCAGGGCATCAGAAACAGGCAGGGTCAGGGAAGCAAGGATCTAGACTAGAGCTGGGAGATGGGGGATCAGGAGCAGGCAGGTGAGGGAGCTGAGGTCTATAAGGGACTGGGCATAGGGAGTCACCCTGAGAAAAACCACAGGCCAAGGGAAGGGGTCAGAAAGGACCTAGCCAGATGTCACTAGGTTTGGAGCAGTTAGTTATAGCTGTATGGAACAGGACAGAGGCAACCAAAGAAACCAGAAACGGGTCAAAAGCCCCAGGCTAAGCAGGGTGGTATCTGTCTCAAGTAACCTGGTGGGCACTGAAAGGCTACTGCATAGAAGCAGACAGCGATGCCCAGCAGGCAGGTGGGACCAGGTGGGGCAGTTTGGCTAGCCTGCTGCTCTGGCCCCTGACACCAATATTAACAGTGCATGAGTGTCAGAGCCAAGTAAATGAATGACGCTATTCCCCAAAAAAACTCCTGGCTTCCCTACGTTGTGACTGGCTGGCTTAGTGCATGGAAATCCCTGCTCACCTATTCCTGGAAGTGCAGAATAAATGTATGATACTACATCACAAGACACCCATTCCAGTTGATGATGGGTATGTTGGCGTTTTATGTAGGCTTATCATTTTTAAACACCAAATTCTAGATCTCTTTTTAAGGAGAAATTTTTTGGATGAGTAATCCTTAAACAAATTATTTGTGCATTTCCAGATAGTGAACAACATAAGTACAGCAATTTTGGGTGCTTTTACTATCTAAGATGTGAAATTTCAAGCATCAAGGTGTATTGTTTTCCCTGCTAAATCAATGCAGAGTGGCAGGTTATATTTTTGTACAATTTGCATGCACTAATACAAGCTGAGGAACAACTGGCTGGATTGCAGTACTGCAGAGAAGGATCTGGGGGTGACAGTG